CCTCTGCCTCCTGGGTTCAGGTGATTCTCCTGCCTCAGTCTCCCAAGTACCTGGGATTACAGGCGTGTGCCACCATGCCCAGCTAATGTTTGTATTTTAGTAGAGATGGAGTTTCACCATGTTGGCCAGGCTGGTCTTGAACTCCTGACCTCAAGTGATCTAGCCGCCCTGCCTGTGATTACATGCATGTGTCACTGAGCCTATCTGCCCTCCCAAGGTCTTTAGGTTACACTTTAACAACAACTGCTTTAAAGGTTATACTCCTCTAGTCATCTTGCCTAAGAACTTGAAGAAACTAAGGTGAACTGACATATATTTGTTAGAAAATATTTAAAAACTGCTTTATTCGGGGCACTTCCCTAACCTAAAATCTCCCTTAGAAATCTCTGAAATTCAACCCTATTTTTCTTATAATCTTTTGTAAACAGCAACAAAGTATAAGAAAAAAAAATCAGTCTAGCTCCAGCAGCCTACTGCAATAGAAATGAGAATATCTGGGCATCAGCACAAACTAAAGTTACAGAAAGGATGGCAAACAGTTCCTGTAATGAGTCAAATAATAAATATTTTAGGCTTTGGGGGCCATATCATTGATGTAACATGTACAACTCTCCTTACGGTATGAAAGTAGCCATATACAATATATAAATGAAGAGGAGTGGATAAGTTTTAGTATAATTTTATTTAGATTTGACCCTTAGCCCATGGCTAGCTGAATTCTGTTTTAGACAGAACCGATCAACCTCAAAAATACAGTGACCAAAACAAAGCCATTTTATAAAATCAAATCTCTTTTCTTCTTTACAAATGGATTTTATTCCTTATAAACACTTGCAATAGAAGCATACTTTCTTGTCAATGAGGAAAAAGAGGCAGAATGAATAATTTGTAGGTACTTTCAGTAATTAAAAGCTATTCAAACACCTAGGAACATGTAATTAGGTAGATCAAGTTTTGCTCTGGTCACCCATGCTGGAATGCAAAGGCTCCATCTCATCTCGTATAACCTCCCCATCCCGGGTTCAAGCCATTCTCCTGCCTCAGCCTCCCGAGTAGCTGGGATTACAGGTGCACGTGGTGACACCCAGCTAAGTTTTGTATTTTGAGTAGAGACGGGGTCGCACCATGTTGGCCAGACTAGTCTTGAACTTCTGACCTCAGGTGATCGACCCACCTCAGCCTCCCAAAGTGCTGGGATTACAAATGTGAGCCACCGCGCCCAGCCAGAAATGGCAATATATTCTATAGAATGGTAAATTATTCCAGAATAAGTTCGATAGTCAGTAAAATGAAACACTTAAAGATAGACAAAAATTATCATTCTTGGTATTTATTTCTTCTAGCCAATTTTTTATTAAATAGATATATAATTATACAATATTCCTTCTGAGTAAAGAATTCTTGAGATTGAAAAAACATACACCATAAATGAAACTAATAAATTTTAATGCATTACTTGAAATGTAAATTTTCCACAGAAGGTGCAAATATAACACTCCAAAAATAATTAGATAATCCATAAATCAGGAGAAGATAGTCATAAATAACAGATAGCAAAAGATTAAGAATGAGACTATCTAAAGAACTCCCATAAAACAACAAGAAAACACAGATCAAGATTATGGTGATACAGCATTTTAAATTTACCAAATTGACAAATTTTTAAACTCCAGCCATACCAAGTGATTAGGTGATGTGAAGCAATGAGAACTTAAACATTGTAGGTGACATGTAAACTGATACACTGCCTTAGAATACTACATTGTATTGGAATACGATACTTTGGAAAATAATTTGCATTATCTTCTAAAGTTCACCATATGCACCTTACAAGTCAGCAATTCTAGGAATATATGCAAAAAATTCTTGAATAAGCACAAAATGTATACAAAAATGCTCATTAATTGGTAAATAAAGTCATGTCATGGAATACATTACAACTGAGAAAATGAACACAGCTACATGGGTCAATGCGGATGAAACTCAAACAATAATAAGTAAAAACAGTAATTAAGAGAAAAATGCATTCAGTATGCTTGCATTTAAGTGTAAACATAAAAAAATAAAACTCTTTATTGTTTAGAATTTTATATACGTAGCAAAAGTACAGAAAAGACAAAAGACAACACCAAATACAAGTTAGTGGTGTTGGGGGTCAGGCGAAGAAGAGGAGACAAAGCAATTGCAGAGAGGTGACCCAATTTCATAAACAGTGATCCTTTCTGTATGCTTATAGTATTTTTAAAAGAAAAATTTTAAGCTATAAATAACTAAACTTACTTTGGCTTAAGAAAAAAAAAAAAAAAAAAAAGAACGCATTCTTCCAAACCCATTTTTTTAAGCTACCTGCAACATGAGCAAAAGGCAAACATGAGCCAGAGCTTTTCTGTTTACTCAACTACCTTACATTGCTAAACAATTGCTCATCTTTGAATATAGTGCGCCACCTTGTGTTCAAAAGCTTCTAACTAGCATAAAATTCTGAGACTCCTATTTGTAAACTTGGCTTCCTTGGGGAAAAAAAAAATATTAGGTTGGTGCAAAAGTGACTGTGGTTTTTACTGCAACTACTTTCGCACCACCCTAATATAAATTCCTTTATGCTGTGGCAATAGATTTAGCATTATAAAGATAAGTACATGTAAAACAACATTAGAAAAAGTTATTTTGATGCTAAAGAATTAGAAATGCTTTATATTTATTTCTATTGATAACCTTTTGAAGCTTTCATTTTGCTGTACTTTCAGAAAATAATTTGCCTTTTTTCCTCTATTTTAACTATCTGAATTTTTTAAATGACTAAAATTCAAAATTATAGATTTTTTAAATGCTACAATATTCTTTCATAAAGAAACTTACCTTTGAATGAGTGATTGATAAAGTATCTACCCATACACGCCAGCCACCCCACTCATATTTGACTGCATGGTAAAGCAGGATTCTGAATATGGCATATACCATTTCTGTTATCTTTTGCTCATCTGAATTCTTAGGATTAAAATAGCAGAGAGAAAGCATCCACTCTTGCCACACAGAGCATTGTAGCAAGCTCCTGAAAATTATAAGAGGATACTAAATTACTGAAGAAAAAAAAAACATCTGAAAAAAATAAAAAAAAAAAAAAAAAAAAAAAAAAACCACCTCCAAAAAAAAAAAAAAAAAAAAAAATTTAATTATACATTAAGAACAATTCAACAATGTGGTACTAAAAACTTTAACTTAACTATGTGCTACATTATTTACATATCCTTAATATATTTTTAAAGCAATTTTTCTAAGATGAAATGGGCTTATACAAAAGTAGACTTGAACACTGCAAATAAATGCTTTCTCATTCAGCTTACCTCCTGTTTTCTCTACTGTTATTAAAAAGTTTAATCATGTCAGAAAGAAAGGCTCTGCGAACCTCCATGCTCTCTGAGCACTGGGGAGAATTTCGAAGTAGGGTCGCAATTACTTTTAGTATCTCTGTAAGACAATTTATAAATAAGTAAAAACCAAACTGAACAAAAAACTCATGATAGAAGGTCATCGATCTACTGTAATTTCTTTAGTTCCCCTAACACAATGTCTACTAAAGACATCCTCTTCTGTTATTAAAAAAATAACCTATGGAAAGAAATGACAGTATATTCATTAGAAAGCATTTATAACTAAGAAAGGAAATTTATTTCATGATTCAAATGTGCAAAAATAAAACTGAATTTTAAAATGTTAAAACAAGTTAAACTATAAATGAATTAAATGTTAGTAAAACTGCTTATTCTCTCTGAGATATACCAAATAGTAAAGCTGATCTTAAAAACAACTAGGCCAGGAGAATTGACTCACGCCTGTAATCCCAACACTTTGGGAAGCTGAGACAGGTAGATCACTTGAGGTCAGGTGTTCAAGGCCAGCCTAGCCAACATGGTGAAACCCTGTCTCTACTGAAAATATAAAAATTAGCCAGGTGTGTTAGCATGCCTATAATCCCAGCTACTCAGCATGCTGAGACAGGAAAATCACTTGAACCCAGGAGGGGGAGGATGCCCTGAGCCAAGATTGCACCATGGCACTCCAGACTCGGCAACAGAGCGAGACTCTGTCTCAAAAAATAATACTGAAATAAAATTAGAAAAACACAATAATCAAAATCTCAGAAAAAGATAAATTCTTAGATTTCTCATCATAATTTATGGTATGCACACAGCCTTTCATTTATCATAGTGAATTTTTAAAGGTGTGAAGACTTTCCTTCATAATCTTAAAAGTAAAATTGGACACAAAAAACCCAAAGGAAATTAAAACCCATTCAATATCCCATCCCCCAAGAAAATGCAAACTAAACTACTATGGTAATGGTCTTAGCACAAAGCTATTTAAATATCTAGAATTTAGCTTAAATTAGGCTGGGCATGGTGGCTCATGCCTATAATCCCAGCACTTTGGGAGGCCAAGGCAGGCGGATCATCTGAGGTCAAGAGTACCACCCTGGCCAACATGGTGAAAACTCGTCTCCACAAAAAATATAAAAATTAGCCAGGCCTGGTAGCAGGTGCCTGTAGTCCCAACTACTCAGGAGGCTGAGGCAGGAGAATCGTTTGAACCAGGAGGCAGAGATCCTGCCACTGTATTCCAGCCTGGGCAACATAGCAAGACTCTGTCTCTAAATAAATAAATAAGCTCCTGAACTTAGCTTAAATTTTTTTTAAAGATTCTTTTAAAAATATGTACTTAGAGCAGGTGCCATGGCTCATGCCTGTAATAACAGCACTTTGGGAGGCCAAGGTAGGGGGAATGTTTGAGCCCAGGAGTTTGAAACCAGTCTCAACATAGGGTTGCCCAGTGAGACCCTTACAAAAAATTTAAAAATTAGCTGGCTGTGATGGTGAGTGCCTGTAATCCCAGCTACTTGGGAGGCTCGGGTGGGAGGACTGCCTTATCTGGGAAGTCAAAGCTGTAGTCTCAAAAAAAAAAAGGTAGGACTTTGCAGATAAAAAATAAAAACAGCTATAATTCTGAATTTAAAATTACATGATATTTCAAATTTTTATTCAATTGAAAATTTAGGAATTCTAAACTACCCTTTCGCTAAGGATTTTGGTGAATCTAAACAATTATTTCAAAATAGCAAAAACGAAGATACTCAGTTATACAATTACTGATATTTGGGGAGCAATTTCTGAATTCCTCTAATAACAAATTCAAAAGTTGGCTACCTGAACAATGATTACAATAATGATGATAGACATAATAATGAGATAATTGCCACTAATTTTGAGGATATATTACCATTGTTTTAAGAAAGCAATTATTAATTCATGTAATCTTTACACAATAGAAACTAATATCCTCATTTTAGAGATAAATAAATTAAAGCTAAAAAATAAAGAAATGCACACCACAACTAGTTAGACATATAACCAGGAGTTCAACACATGCAGCCTCTATTTTTAATCACCTAACTATACTACCTGTCTTTTCTGGGCCAATATATTAGGTAGATAATTGCTATCATTTATAGCAATACAGATAATTTTAAAGTGTCTCTGCCAAAATTCAGTGTGCTAATGTAATGTTATTAAGAAGTAAGGCCTTTAAGAAGGTGATTAAGCCTGGAGGACTTCTCCCTCAATAGGATTAAAGTCCTTATAAAACAGGCTTCACATAACGTTTGGTGAGCTTGCCATTCAGCCTTTATTGAAAGCAGAGAGCAGCCATCAGCAAACTAAATGGAGGCACCTGGATCTTGGACTTCTAAGCTTTCAGAATTGAGAGAAAATAAATTTCTGGTCTTCATAAATTGCCCAATCTCAGGTATTCTGTAATAGCAGCATAAAAGAGACTACACTAAGACAAATAAATTCTAAAATTCTTATACTAGTAATCTTCTCTATCATCACATAACATATATGAAATGTACATTTATATATCTATAAGTACAAGATTTTCTCTTCATTCTCAAAATAATGACATCATGTTTCTCTGAAAGCTGAGAAAAATTAAACTTCAAAGCCACGTATTTTTAAAATCAGCACTGGAGTGCCACACACACAAACACACCTAACCACATAAAATGTAATTACATTTCAAAACTCTACAAACTAATAATTTTAACATGATCTTAGAAAGATGAAAAAGGTATACTTTGTACAAGTGCTTAAGAATTCTAAACATCAAAAGAAAAGACTGTTTAATAAGACTATGTTCATAAACAATAAAGAAGACATATTTTTCTATTCCAAATTTGGTATTTTTTATTCACAGAAATTTAAAACTACCTCCATGGTTCATGTAATTTTGCCTGATATCACTAAATAGCACAACCAAAATTTTGATGAAAGTCTGGACATACATTAAATCAAGACCTTAAGCAAACAATTCTTCAAACCCTTTATATAAGGATTTCCATATAACTTAAGGTTGATTCGAAGTCACATTCAACATAAAACATAAACAAAACTAATATAATATCATCACCCTTAATGAAATATTCATCTAACAATCTATTTCAACAACATCAACTATAGGCTGTTCACAGTGACTTTCTTTTTAAGTGTCAAAAGGTAAGCTTTTGTTAAAGTATATAAAATACATACGAGGGTTTTGTATCTTTACTGAAGAATCGGGATCTGGATGCTGTTTATGTATCACCTGAGTACCAATCTGTTCTATAAGAATCTACAGAAGTAAAACAATAGATTACATTAGCAAATCATTGGATTAGCATCACTGTTAATGAACTCTAAGTACAATGCTAATCAAAATATAGTATATTTTTAGTCCGATATTTTCATGCTAAATATTATGTTTCCAAAATAACTTAAGCATTATTACTCTGTGTTTTCTTAATTATAAAATGAGACATCAAATAGTTAATACAATGGAGGGAATACTTAAATGGAAACAATACTGTTTAGAAATACATAGATTAATAATACATTCAAATGCAGCCACATCTCCTTTATATCATTTCAAAGCTGTACATTACAAACCTATATAATCTGGCTGGCATGGTGGCTCATGCCTGTAATCCCAGCACTTTGGGAGGCTGAGGCGGTGGATCACCTGAGGTCCAAAGTTTGAGACCAGCCTGGCCACCATAGCAAAACCCTGCCTCTACTAAAAATACATAAATTAGCCAGGCATGGTGCCATGAGCCTATAATCCAACTACTCGGGGGGCTCAGACAAGGGAATCGCTTGAACTCAGGAGGCGGAAGTTGCAGTGAGCCAAAACTGTGCCACTGCACTCCAGCCTGAGTGACAGAATGAGACTCTGTCTCAAAAAATAAAGTAAAATAAATATAAATGAACTTATTTACCTACACAATGTTAAGATGCATTTTTATAATAAGAAATTTGGTAGAGTAAATCCTAAGTACATTCTTACCTCAAATAGGACATTATATGTGGTCATTGTGATTAAATTTGTGTGAAGCATGAGCCTTTCAGCAAGCAATGAAAACAATCCATGCCCAAGCATGACTTCAGCTTTCCTCCTGCAATTACACAGAAAGAAATCAAATGTAGAGCTTTTCTGTGCTCTACTTAGTACGCATGCTGGATGAAGGAAACAAAATTTTTTTCACATTACAAGCAATTCCCAACTCAATTACTCTCCCAACCATCTTTACTATAGCACTCTTAAGGCCACAAAACCTTTAAGTAGAGAAATAAAAACTACTATATAAGCATAGCAAAAATAAAAAAAAAAAAAAAAAAAAAAAAAACTTTGCCTATGCACAGCAAAAACCTCCTCAAAATCTTCAGAGCAATTATTTATTTAGCTAAGTTGCTATGATTTACCAGCACGAACTTAGTATCTCTTGGGGATGATCATCTAAAGTAAAATAAGTACTTAAGTAGAAAAACAATGTGGAGAAAAAGTAGAAGAAATGTAACATAATTTTTAAAAATAAATACTATGAAAACATATATACCAAAATTAACCTTCCAAGTATAAATTCAGAAACTAAAGGATCACAAGCTTTACCCTTGGGGTCTGCAAAGTTCTTCCGCAAATGGCTAAGGGGTAAATATTTTCGAATTTGTGGACCAGGTGATCTCTGTCACAATTCAACATTGCCCTTGTATCATGAAAGCCACAGATGATACACAAATTAATTATTGTGGCTATTTTCCAATAAAACTTTATTTATGGGTGGTTAGCTGGATTCCTAGAGACTACAGTTTACCAACACTTGTTCTACCCCCAACATTTTATTTTTAAAATAAACTAATTTGGTACAAAGAGCAAGAGGTAGAGAACATGAGTATCTGCATTCAGCTAAGAAAATAAAACTCTCTGTATATAGCAGAACACACTATGTAACAAACATCCAGGTTACTGTATTACTCTGCAATGCAGATAAAGCAAAATTGGTGTGACACCTGAAATCAAGTCTCCACAGTTTCTTGATTGCAAGTTATCCAAACTAATTCTCATAATTCACATTAAATACACGAATAATTTAAATAATTTTATGTACAAAAAACTATTCAACTTAATTTTCAAAATATGTACTAGTGACTGGATTACATTTATACAGCAGTTAGGAAGAAAAATAAAAGAAAAACTACAGAACTATAGAACAAAATTGCTACTCCAAAGATTTATAAAATAAATAAGTAGAATACAACAGTCCATCTTAGATTTCATGCATACTTACTTTGGCGCCAGATGTTTTAAAAAATAACCCATTGCCTTAAGAGCTTGTACCCTGATTCCTTCGCTTTTTGATGCCAGAAGTTTGTAGATAACACTGAATGAATAAAAATTAAAAACAAACTATTTTAAGTACAATTTTTAAATGGAAAGGTTTAATATATACACTTTTCATATTATTATAAACCTATTTCAAATAACATAGAAGGAAATTTAATACACATTTCTGGTATTAAAAATCCTGCTTATCTTAGGCTAGAGTTCCTTTTGATGAAAACTAAGAAATGAGAAGAAATTGGAATGTAAGAAATGATGTGACTTTTCCATGTACATATTTATATGTAACGTGTGCATCAAGCTAGTTTGAGACTTTCTTCCTTCTGCTACAGGCTTATCAATGTCCTATGAAGGTTACCAAAACCTGTTATTTTAAGTCAATAGAAAGAAAACATTCTTTAATGGTAGTACCTATTTAAATTTCCAAGTAATTATCACCATGAAAAACAAGAAAGCAAGCTAATAAAGAATGGTAATCAGAAATAATTACAAAAGTAAAAAGATTTAAAACCAAAGGACTGCTAAAAATAAATTTCCCATTCATTTCTCAAAAATTATATAGTAATCTAATTTGTAAAGATCTATGAGGCAGCCAGACACGGTGCCTCATACCTGTAATCCCAGCACTTTGGGAGGCGGAGGCGGGCAGATCACCTGATTTCATGAGTTCAGAACCATCCCAGCCCCAGTCTCTACTAAACGCACAAAAAATTAGCTGGGCGTGGTGGCACGTGCCTGTAATCCCAGCTTCTTTGGAGACTGAGGGAGGATAGTCGCTTGAACCTGGGAGGCAGAGGCTGCAGTGAGCTCAGATTGCACCACTGCACTCCACCCTGGGCAACAGAACAAGACTCTGTCTCATATATATAGAGAGAGGGCCTTCTGATTTTAGTATAAGCAAAGTATATTGACTCTGTCTCAATAAATGATTATATACATGAGGGTCTTCTGATTTTAGTATAAGCAAAGTAATACTGAAACTGAAATTCAACTGATTCATTATAGCATTCCCTTCCTCATAAACATTTAGAACAACAACAGTAATTAGAGACCCTTACAATTACTTTTAAAAATTAAGGATATCAGGCCAGGCATGGTGGCTCATGCCTGTAATCCCAGAACTTTGGGAGGCCGAGGCAGGTGGATCACCTGAGGTCAGGAGTTAGAGACCAGTCTGACCAATATGGTGAAACCTCATCTCTCCTAAAAATACAAAAATCAGCTGGGCGTGGTGGCGGGCACTTATAGTCCCAGCTACTCGGGAGGCTGAGACAGGAGAATTGATTGAACTGGGGAGGTGGAGGTTGCAGTGAGCCGGGATGATGCCACTGCACTCTAGCCAGGGTGACAAAGCGAGACTCCATCTCAAAAAAAAGAAGAAAAAAAAAATTAAAGATTATCAGTATCCTCCTAGATAAGAATTTTGATGATTAGTAAGTCAGAAAACATTCTGAACAAAAAGGAAATATCTTCAACCTCTAGTGATCAACAGAAGAGCAAGAATATAAAAAGAAGTTTGATTCCTTTTAAAATATGAACTAAAGGTATCCAGGTCAATATCACATTGTAACCGCATAAAATGACGCATACAAAATCATTCATTTTTTTAATTCAAATCTTAGTAATAAAACTTAACAGTTAATATTAGGAAAATACTAACATGTTTTACGTTTCTTTTCTTCAAGAATTTAAATTCAGCAAAATAAAAATTATTAAACTTTTTAAAAGAAATATTAATGTAAGTATAATACCAGTTTAAAATTACAGTAGTTTTTTAGTTTTTTTTTTTTCCCCCAAAGATGGCAGATTTGAGGGTTTTAGCATTTCTCAGCCACTTGGAAACAATAAGATAGCACATAAAAATAAACTCTGAGCTTTAATTCAAGAAGAAAAGCAGGAATCTACCAGAATCATGAAGGGCATCCTAGATCCTGAGAGCACTTTGTTTCTCCCAAGACCTGGAGCTGAGAAAGAGGTATGGAGATACTGTGAGGGAAAAACACCAGGAAAAGTTGCAGGGACCAAGAGCAGGATGCCAGTTTGAATTCAAGCACATACAATACAACCTGGAAATCTGACATGTGGCCACACAGGCATGCCCCGTCACAGGCCTGGGGTGGGAGGAAAGTGGCTAGAGCCGCAATATCTCCTGGACAATGAGACTTGCCAACCAGGGGCAGCTTGGTGACCTGGAACCAGTCTGCATGTGCCATTGCTGGGTCCCCCAGCCGGCAACCCTGACATTGCGGTGCAGCAGGGCCCTCTCTGCTCCACTCTCAGGCAGAAACCCAGGCATTCAACCCTCCCCATCCTTCGTAAACAAAGATCATGGCACTGGACCCTCTTTCCTCCATGCCCAGGCAGATCTCCAGGCATGTGAAGCACCCACTCCCATGGACTAGCAACCTGAGCCCTATTCCACATGACGCAGCAGGATGCACAGGCAGATCTCCAGGAATTCAATGCACCTGCTTGCCCAGACTGGCAGCCTGAGTCACCCCACTCTTCCTTTGCAGAGATCCAGGTTCAGAGGGGTCCTCTATGCTTCATGCCCAGGGAGATCTCCAGGCATCCAGAGCAGCTGCTTAGTCCAGCAGCCTGACTTACCTCATTCCTCTGTGCAAAGATCTTGGTGCAAGGGGAGCTCTCTCTGCTCCATGCCCAGGCAGATTTCCAGGCATTCAGACTACCCACTCACCTGGAACAGCCCCCTCTGCACCATTCCTATGCAGAGATCCTGGTACAGGGGTCCTCTCTGTTCCACATCCAGCCCTATCTCAAGGCATTCATAGTACCTGCTGGCCTGGTTCTGTACCCTGAGGCGTCCCACCATTCCAGTGCAGAAATTGTGGTGCACTGGATTTGAAATGGACCCTTTCCATTTCAAACTCAGCAGATCTCCAGGAATCTGGAAAACCCACTTTCCTGGATTAGGAGTTTAGGCCATCCCACATGCCCATGCAGAGAATTTGGGACTGAGGTTTCCCATCACTATGCCTACACACTCTTCTGGGCACTTAGGGACTGCCCACTGAATTCTCCCTTAGCACTGATGCCAGACATAAGGAGACCTCTAGTAGGACCTGCCCGGTCTGGAAATGCCCATTTTGTGTCCCACTCCTCCAGAGCAGAGGAGGGGGCTCAGACCACCATGCACTCCACACATTAGCCTATTGCCTGAGGCAACAGAGAGCTTCTCCCATTAAACAAATTGGCCAAAGACCACTTTTACTCATAACTGCCATCTAATGGCTTGTAGGTTTAAATGCACAGCCCAATATAAAACCTGCTGACGAAAGTATACAAAGCTATAGAAGCAAAGTCCAAAGACCCTACCCAGCATTCTCTATAGCCACCCCCATATGGAAGGAGGGAAAGGGAAAGAAGACCAAAAAAAAAAAAAATTATTATAGAGAAAGAAAAAAAAAATCTTAACAGCATGAAAACTATTACAAAAGTCAGAAGTGTCAGCATCTCCAAAGGAGAAGGAACCAGCACAAAATTTCAGACACCATGAAAAATCTGAGTGTGGTGACACCATCAAAGGATCACAATGGCTCTCCAACCATGGTCCATAACCAAAATGGAAACTCAGAAATGACAGATAAAGAATTCAAAGCATGGCCTGCAAGTAAGCTCAATGATATCCCAGACAATGTTGAAAATTAATACAAAGAAACTTCTAAAGCAATCCAGGAAATGAATGAGATTAAACATCTTAAAAAGAAATCAATCAGAGATCCTGGAACTGAAAAACTCACTTAAGAAATTACAAAATAAAATTGAAAGTTTTATCAGCAAACTAGACTAACCAAAAGAAAGAACTTCAAAGCCTGAAGACTGATCTTTCAAATCAGTCAGACCAAAAAAAAAAAAAAAAAGGTTAAAAAATGAAAAAGTCTTCAAGAAATATAAGACCATGTAAAGTAGCCAAACCTACAAGTTCCTGGCATTATTGAGAGTTACTGGCATTACTGGCATTACAACACCTACCACCACAAAAATACACATGTACATAGCTTGCAAACCTTATAAAGCAACCACACAAAAGAAACTACAAAGCAACCAGCTAAGAACTTCATGAAAGAATCAAAACCTCACATATCAATATTAATTATGAGTGTAAATGGTCTAAATGCCCTGCTCAAAAGGCACAGAATGGCATGTTGGATAAAAAAACAGAACTCATCCATCTACCATATTTAAGAGACCCATTTTACATATAACACCACTCATAGGCTCAAAGTACAGGGTTAGGGAAAGACCTATCACACAAAGAGAACATAGAAAAAGAGCAGGAGTCACTATTCTTATATAAGATAAAATAAATGATAAATTATCAAGAGTTAAATAGAACAAAAAATGGCATAACATAATATTATCTAGTTCCATTCAACAAGAAAACTTAACTATCTTAAATATATATGCACCTAACAGTAGAGCAACCAAATATATAACACAACTATTCCTAGACCTAGGAACAGACTTAGTCACACAATAATAGCAGGGGACTTCAACAACCCACTGACAGCATTAGACATGTCATGAAGGCAGAAAACTAACAAATTCTGGACTTAAATTCAAAACTTGTCTCAATTGGACCAAACAGACATCTACAGGATACTACTCCACCCATCAACATTCTTTTCCACCCATACACAGTCTTCTTATCTGCACACAAAACATACTCCAAGATCAACCATAAGCTCAGCTATAAAGTCTCAATAAATGCAAAAAAACTGAAATCATGCCAACCATATTCTCAGAACACAGAATAAAAATAGAAATCAATACCAAGATGATCTCTCAAAACCATAGAATTATATGGAAATTAAACAACTTTTTCCTGAATGACTTTTGGGTAAACAATGAAATTAAGGCAGAAATTTAAAAATCCTTTGAAATAAACGAAAACAAAGACACAACGTAATAAAACCTCTGGGATACAGCCAAAGCAGTGTTAAGAGGAAACTTTAGTCCAGGCGCAGTGGCTCATGCCTGTAATCCCAACACTTTGGGAGGTTGAGGAGAGCAGATCAC